AGCATTAAATACTTGGTACGAATGGTGGCAAGACCACTTGAATAGTCGTTCAGCATTAAATGTGCACCTAACTTTATTCCAAAATATACAAGAACTTAATGTTAAAACTGGTTAAATATATCTTACCACCAAATATTAGGTTTTGTATTTCATTTGAAAATCTTAAAATGTCTTTCAAAGTACATTTCTTAGTAGCATCATTCTTCAATAAATTAATGAACGAGCAGCCGAAGCACGATCATGAGCTGCACGTGTGAAACTACGAGCAGCCGAAGCACGATCATGAGCTCCAGGTGTGAATCTACGAGCAGCCGAAGCACGATCATGAGCTCCACGTGTGAAACTATGAGCAGCCGAAGCAGGATCATGAGCTCCACATGTGAAATTATGAGCAGCCGAAGCACGATCATGAGCTCCACGTGTGTATTATGAACAGCCGAAGCACGATCATTAGCTCCACATGTAAAACTATGAGCAGCCGAAGCACGATCATGAGCTCCACATGTAAAACTATAAGCAGCCGAAGCACGATCATGAGCTCCACATGTGAAACTATGAGCAGCCGAAGCACGATCATGAGCTCCACATGTGAAACTATGACCAGCCAAAGCAGGATCATGAGCTTCACGTGTGAAACTATGACCAGCCGAAGCAGGATCATGAGCTCCACATGTGAAGCTACAAAAGGCTTAACATCCTTCATGTATTTTGGGAAGACAATAAAAACATCCATTGATGACTATCTTGATGATCTAATTTCCAAAGATTGTACCCGAGTTAACATAACGTCCTTTATATAAACATCGTTATCCAGCTCAGAACAATGGAAGCTCACACCGGAAAGTTTTCCCATTTAGCAGTCGTGATAACACAACGTTACCTGTAACAAGGAAGTCCCCTTAGTTAACTGTCAAGTTTCTATAAAACAAACGGAATAAACTGTAACTGATTTATTATTGTTATACTTGCCTAAACGAGGATTGTTCATTCCACCGTTATCTGTAAACTCTAAAAATGAAGAAATGCAACTTAATATTTTGTAATTTAATTTAAACTGTTATGCACGAGAGGGAAATGAAGAAATGCAACCGACATCGAATAAGACGTGTATATTTATTTTATTTAGTAATTAATTTTCTACAGACATAATTAAAAGAAGATTAATTAAGATAAAAAAAGAAATGTATAAAAGTAGAAGAGATTCTAGAAAAATTCGCATTGAAAATATATGATAAAATGAAAACACTAGAATTAGTAGATAAATCAAAAATAGTTAAGTTATAAATAACAGAACCGTATGAAAGTTCCACATTTTTACAACCGACAATCACAAAGACAAGCGTTAGCAACGACCTCTAGTATAGAAAAAAGTAATCATTAATGTGACCTCAAATTGTTCTTAAAACGTATCTTCATTGTAGGAAATTGTAAGAAACACGAGTTTTAGTATAGTTTAAAACTTTGGTTTTAGCACAAACACCTCTCGGTACCCTCTTCTAAATAAACGTTGTTCGCAAGCGACATTCTAACCCTAAAAGTGAAGACAAATTATGTAGAATATTACAAGAACGATCCTTGTGAATGTGTGTGTGTTTAGTTCTCCAGTTATGATAAAGATTTATAGCATCCATTCATACAAAATCTATTTTTTATTTTGCACTTATTGTATCCCACAATATTATGGTGAAGTTATTGTATTCTTTAACATTTACAAGTATTTTTACTTGAAATAAAATTGACCACAATCTCTCTACGTTGGAGACTAAGCCTACAGGTTACAATGAGGTGTATACAGAAGGCTTATTCTGGAAAAAGGAGAATCATTCAAACAGCAAGCGTATTTTGGGAGAAAGAAAGGTTTAAACAGCAAGCGTATTTTGGGAGAAAGAAAGGTTTAAACAGCAAGCGTATTTTGGGAGAAAGAAAGGTTTAAACA